TTTAATTTAATTATTATTATTACTTTATTTTATTTATTTTATTATTATTATTTTTTGTTAAAACTTTTGGGTCACCACACTAACTAAACAAGAAAATAGAAAACAAGATAACAAAATAAATGCTTAAGTGAAAGTTACTAAAGGTCCTTTAATGCTAGTTACCAATTGCTTTAATTCTCTAGTAGTTATGCCAAGAACTTGATGCACACAAAAATGTTTCATCATAGGTGTATAAGTCAATATGTAATATAGTAATAGATCAAGGTCAATCCCATAGAAAATCAAGCAACATGGCAAATGGGCATCAAATTCTCAATTTCATTCAAGTCAAGTGAATCACATATGAAAGTTTATAAACTAGAAAAAAAATAGCATCTAATATATAAACAAGTTTTTAGTTGCTTAGGTCATCAAGGTAATATAGCTAGACATTAGCAAACTCAGTCTCATAGCAACAAAATGTGAGAGCCAAATCAGAAACATTAGAGAACAAGGAGAAAAACAAGATTAAAGCAGATGGAATCAATAATTATGGATGAATCCTCTTCCCCAAGCTCCTAGATCAATGCCTAGCCTTCAAAATTACCTCTTATGGTCCATAATGCTCGCCAAAAGTCAAACTGAGTCAAAACCCTTGTGCTATCCTTTTTTGGATATGAAAAACTGATGTCATGTGTTTTTTGTACAAAATCTATTATAGATGGTTCAAAATTTGATTCATAACACTAACCCACTGTAACGCTTGATGTAGTGGGTAATCTTTAAAGTCTAATTTCTTCCTCAAAATCATCATATTTTTCATCCTCCACTTCTTCCATGCTTTTGCAAAGGTTCCTACAATTAAAATGACTCAAATTAATAATAAAAATTATTTTTAAAAGAAATTAAAATATTTACAAAACAAAGTAATTAACACCAAAATAAATATTAAACACAAAAACACTAAGCGAAAGTCACTAGATAACTCTTTAGTTAACCACTAAAACTCCTTAAAATACATGAAAATATAGAGATTTGTCACGTTTTAATAATATCTTATTAAAGCATTCACACTTTAATATTTAATAATTTTTACTGATGTTATTGGTAGCAATAACAATCCGGTGATCACCTAGTAGTTGGTCAAAGTAGCTCATCAAACTAGTATTTTAGTTTTTTATATGTATAAGAAATATCATTAGCCTTTTGAAATTTATTTGTAATTTAAGGGACTTAATTAATATTAATTTTCTTATAGGATTATTTAATATAATTTTTTAGGTCTTTTCTTGTAATTTTTTATGTGAACTAATGGTTAAACTTAACATTTTTAACAGTAAGAACAAAATTTCACCATTTGTTGAAGGGAGATATTATACCACTAAAAAATTTAGAATACCAGACACTCCTATGTGAATAATTGAAGAGCAAAAATAACCTTTAAGCAAAAATTACATTGAGGATAGGAAAGGCAGAGAATAATTTTTTTTCTTTTTTTATGCTATAAACATTTTTTTCATTACTCTTTTCTCCAAACCATAGTTGTGCATTGCTAATTGTGTAATATCTTTTGAAGTTATAATATATAATACTCACTATATTTTTATTTATACATTACTTTTAACATATTTTATTAGAACTAAACAATATCTTAAAACTCTAACCTACTCTCAAGATTTAATAAATTTCCAACTTTGTTCAATTCTTTTAAAATACATATACTTTAATAACATATTTTCTCTCACTAAAATTTAATGGAAGATAAAAAAAACTTCTAATAAAAATGTAATGATATGCAAGTGCTTATAAATAAAACTAAAATATCATTCTCTATGTTTTTTTTTTAATAAAAAGGACTGGAGAGAGTATTTCCTTTAACGTGAAGTGAGGAAAGGAGAAGCATGATGGAACTCTCTTAGTGATCAGTCTTCAACACTCTCTCTCCTTCCCAATTTTTTTTTTCTTTCCTTTGGGGCATAAAACTTTAGTAACTTACCTCCAGCATTTTCACTATATGCATTACGTCTCTTGAATTTTTCTTTTTCTTTCTTTCTTTCTTTCTTTCTTTTTTACCAAGAAGTTCTTTTCTCTATTTACAACATTACATGATACAAACAAAATTGGACAATATCAAGCATACAAAACAATTAATTGGCACGCTCAATGCCGAATATGTGATATTAAAATGCAATCTGTACATGTTTTGAAATAAATCCAATGCAGTCATGAAAGCACAAATAAATTACAAATACAAAGTAAAACAAGCACAACCAACATTAGCACATGAGAGAACATTTTATTTCTTAGGATTTAATTTGCAAAATCGATTATATTTTTAACGAAAACTCCGCCTATGTTTATAGCCGGTCCCAAGCCCGGGTAAAGGAGGAGGGTTGTGTTAGGCCATCAACAGCCAATGTAAAAATTTGTTGAATCTATCATGAACATGGACAATAGACGTTATAATGTTAATGCTAGGTCGTTGCCCGTAAGTAACGCGCTGCATGGCTCGAGTACAGTGATAAGTGAGTTAGAGCCGCTGCATCGGCGCCCGGATGTAGTGTTAAATGAGCAAGGGCTACCGCGTCATTCTGGACGCACGTGGCTAAAGAAGTTAATCCATAAGAGCAAAATTAGATTTGGTACTTGGAATGTTGGGACATTAAATTGTAAATCTGTAGAGGTTGTAGGGGTTATGATTCAAAGGAAAATCAATATCCTTTGCTTGCAAGAAACAAAATGGCGTGGAGAAGGAGCTAAGGATATTCAAGGTTTCAAACTTTGGTATACAGGAAAAGTAAGTGCACGCAATAGAGTAGGCATCATTATAGATAAGGAGTGGAAGAAGAACGTTGTAGAAGTTAGCAGAATTGGAGACAGAATTATTTCTTTAAAAATGATAATTGGACGTGAGACTGTTAATATTGTTAACGCTTATGCGCCGCAAGTCGGGACAGAAGCCAGTCTTAAGGAATTATTTTGGGAGGATCTGGAGGGGTTGATTCGACACATACCACAGAGTGAAAAGATTTTTATTGGAGGAGACTTTAATGGGCATGTCGGGAGGGAAGCTGGTCAGTATGCGAGGGTGCATGGTGGTTTTGGTTTTGGAGAGCTAAACAATGAAGGGCAAACTCTTCTTGATTTCTCATTGGCGTATGATTTTAAGATTGCCAACACTTGTTTCAAGAAGAGAGATGAGCATCTCATCACTTACAAAAGTGGAGCCTCAAGGTCGCAGATTGATTTTCTTTTGGTTAGGAACACAGATAGAAAACTTTGTAAAAATTGTAAGGTGATCCCTGGAGATGCTGTAACGACACAACATAGGGTCCTAGTCCTTGATGTGTGTATTATGAGTAAAATCCAAAAACGTCGACAAGTAGTAACACCAAAGATTAGGTGGTGGCAATTAAAAGGTGAGAAGCAAGATATTTTCAAGCGAAATCTTTTGGATAAAGGAATTTGGGATTCTCAGGGAAGTGCTAACATCATATGGGAGGATATGGCTAAAAAGATACGGGAGGTTGCAAAAGTAGTTTTGGGAGAATCGAAAGGTTCTGGTCCGAGAGATAAGAAGTCTTGGTGGTGGAATAATAGTGTACAGGACAAAATCAAGTATAAGAAGAACTGTTTTAAAGCCATACATTTGTGTAACAATGAGGAAAATTGGGAGAGGTACCGTATGGCTAAGAAGGAAACTAAGAGAGCTATGGGTGAAGTTCGTTCCAAAGCTTTTGAAGAATTTTATAAGAACCTTGAGACGAAGGAAGGAGAGCAAAATATTTATAAGATTGCTAAGAGTAGGGAAAGAAAATCAAGAGATCTAGAACAGGTAAGGTGTATTAAGGATGAAGAGGGAAGAATTTTAGTTACAGATGATGAAATTAAAAATAGATGGGAGACTTATTTTTCTAAACTTTTCAATGATGGAGAGGATTCATCTAGTAACTTGGAGGATTTAGTAACTGGTGAAGGAGAACAAAATTTGTCATTCTATCGAAAAATACGTGATAAGGAGGTAAAGGAAGCTCTTAAGAAAATGGCAAATGGTAGAGCTAACGGACCTAATTGTATATCTATCGAAGCGTGGAAATGTTTAGGTGAAGAAGGGATGAGATGGTTAACTAAATTATTTAATGTGATTTTACGGTCCAAGAAAATGCCTGATGAGTGGAGGAGAAGTATATTAATTCCTATTTATAAAAATAAAGGAGATATTCAGAATTGTACTAACTATAGAGGGATTAAACTCATGAGCCACACAATGAAATTGTGGGAGAAAGTAATTGAGCACAGGTTGAGATTGGAGACAAGTATTTCTGAGAATCAATTTGGTTTTATGCCAGGTAGATCAACTACAGAGGCAATTTATCTACTAAGGGGATTAATGGAAAAGTATCGTTGTAAAGATAAAGATCTACACATGGTTTTTATTGATTTGGAAAAAGCTTATGACCGTATACCAAGAGAAGTGCTTTGGAAAGCGTTGGAAAAAAAGGGAGTACGGATTGCGTATATTAAAGCCATACAAGATATGTATGAGGGGGTAAAAACTAGTATAAGAACGCCTTGTGGTCAAACAAAGGATTTTCCTATAAAGATTGGACTACATCAGGGATCATCTCTGAGTCTTTATTTGTTCAACTTGATTTTAAATGTTTTGACGGAACATATTCAAGAGGAAATCCCGAAATGTATGCTCTTCGCGGATGATATAGTTCTTATAGCAGAGACAAGAGAAGAGGTTAATTGCAAACTTGAGTTATGGAGGAGGACATTGGAGTCGAAAGGTTTTCGTCTGAGTAGAAGTAAGACGAAATATTTATATTGTAAATTTGGTAAAAGACTATTCGAAAATAATTTGGAAGTGAAATTGGGAGATCAAATCATACCTCAAGTAGAAAAGTTTAGATATTTGGGAGCCATTATTCAAAATGATGGCGAAATCAGTGGAGATATTTCACATAGAATTCAAGCTGGGTGGTTTAATTGGAGAAAAGCTAAAGGAGTTATTTGTGACCGTAAGGTGCCTAATAAACTTAAAGGAAAGTTTTATCATACTGCTATCAGACCGGCAATGTTATATAGTAGTGAATGCTGGGCTCTAACGGGACAGCAAGAGCATAAAGTTGAAGTAGCAGATTTGAGAATGTTACGATGGATGTGCGGACATACACGTAAAGATAAAATTCGAAATGAGCACATACTTGAAAAAGTGAGGGTGGCACCTATTGAGGAAAAAATGGTAGAAAATTGGTTGAGATGGTTTGGGCATGTACAAAGAAGACCAAGGGAGGCACCAGTGAGAAGAGTGGAACATATAACTTTGAGTCCGATTAAGAGAGGTAGAGGAAGGCCTAAGAGAACACTCTTGGAAGTTGTTGAACGTGATCTCTTAATTAATAATATTTCTAAAAGCTTAATAAATGATAGAGCACAATGGCGTCTTGCAATCCATGTAGCCGACCCCACCTAGTGGGATAAAGGCTTGTTGTTGTTGTTGTTGTTGTTGATTATATTTTTAACGAAGTTTGTGATTGCAAAAAGAAGGACAATAATGGCTGCTGCTGTTGCGGTGCCTCCCCAAAGGTCCGGGAAGTATACTGAAGATAACAAGCCAAGAGTTTTGTTAATTTTTCTGTCGCAGTGCTTGTTCAATCCTCTTGAAACTTGGTCATAAAATGGGGAATTCAGAACAGTGTTTTTGCCAAGAATATTGATCAGCTGTGCCAACTCTTTGTCGCTCCCCAATTCATGAGCAATAACTTTATCCTCAACCATCACATCTACATCTTCTTTACTGTGAATAAGATCAGTAATCAGAGCAACATAACTGGAAACATAATGATGATTAGGGTAGGAATATTGTTCAAAGGCCATGAGGTTGCGCAGGACAGATTCTGTGGAGTAGTCAACCGTCAGTTTTGGGATTAGCAAACGAGCTTTGAACTTCTTTGGCAAGAATCCAAAGTGACTCAACCAATTCCAATGTCCCCCTTTCTTGAACTGGACATCTAACAAACATTTGTTTGAAACTTTCTCAAAAGCTATCCCTACCCCTTTCAACTTTGTTGCAGTCTTTATGATTGGATGACGACCATCTTCATCTGGGAGCGAATGCTGCACCAAATGCTGCGGAATCATAAAATATCTAATTAAATCAGTGAAGTGTTTTGGTCTGTCCCAGTGCTGCTTCAGCAAATTACTGGTATTGATTTCGTCCACTGACTTATCATCATAAGGATCATAAATTTCAAAGTAGGATCGAGCAAGTTCAAGAAAAGTCGGACAGGCCAATTCATTCTTTCGACTGGTGGGTACAACATGATCAAATAATGTATTCAAGAGATAAAATGGAATTTGATTTTCAAGTAATATCAAATCCCTCTCTACGATCTTACGAATCGTGGAATTCTTAAATGGAACATCATGATCAAGTTGTCCTTCCTTCTTTCTCAAGAAGAGCTCCATGATGAAAACAGCATCCAACAGCATCATGCGCACAAACCTGTTTTTCTCGAAATGAGTGTATTTTTCTGAATAACACTTTCTTAGTTGTTCTTCTCCCTCTTCAAGCTCAGCAGTGTATGATTCTAAATTCTGTCTGTCCTCATCTGAAGATAGTTTATCACGAAAATATCTAAAATATAAGTATTTTTGTTGTTCCATTGACTTCAATTTTGGATTGTTATGGTGAATTGGGCCAATTGAAATCAAATGAGGAGCAAAGGCACCTTTGTTTTGCTCCCTGAGATCTTCAGGAATCTTATAAATACAACAATCTTGAGACAAATTCGTCACACTTGATTCGTTGAGGATGTCCAAAATTATGTACTCGGAAGTACAATCCATTGAGTCGTGTTAGCAAAAATTTTGATGATTCTGCATAATCGTAGACATTGTGTTTTTTCTGGTGAGTAAACTTTTGTATTCAATTGGTAGCATTAATTGACTTAGTTTTTGTTGACACAAAAATGTTATTCAAACTAAAATATTAAACATGGATGCATGCATAAAATCATAGCATAAGAATATAAGTGAAAGTTAAAAAAAAAAAAAACAGTAAGAACATCGATTAATGAAACTTAAATATGCAAACCTCGGAAGAAATGTGCTTGTACTTTTGCTCTTGTTGAAGCTGAAGTGCCAGGCTCCCCTGCACCAGTAGTTCATCTCCTACTTCACTCCGACACCTAACACGTATAAATTGAGTTCAATTACTAATTTTCAAATAAATTATTAGGTTATTCGATTTTTTTTTTAACCCCACACTTGTCCTTGAAGGGTCTAATTTGTCTACATCGAGGATCTAGAAGCAACATGCCAATGACCTCGTTAATTGAAACCAGTCAATATGTCTTGTTATCTGGACTTATAAGTTTTATAATGAGAAATATCATGTTATCATTCATCTTTGAAAGAAATAAGATTAGTTGAAGAAAGAATATTCTAGGAAGGCGCAACGATGAGTTATTGAGTCGCCATCTAAAGGTTTATATAGAACAAAATGAGATATCCAAATAAATATCAAATCAATCTGCAATAATTATAATAAATGTGATCAATCAATCTAAAGGGAACGAGAAATTATAGTAAATGGAAATCATAAATCAATTATAATTAGATCATATTTAACACCCTGCATCAAAAATTAATTGTTTAGCAATGACAACAACTATAGTAAGAGCAAACATCAACTTTTGTATGATAGGGAGCAGGTTTCAAAGAGAGAAAAAAAAAAAAAACATGCCATGTGCATAAATCATAAATCATTATTAAACAAAAGCTTGAAGTCATTTCCGTTGGAGATGAATGAGTTAGCAAAAAACTTAGGAATGATTCTCAAGATGAATCCCTCTAAACAGAAAGCCTATAATCCCGGACAGGAAAAATTCAAAAGTGACTCTCAAAGAAATGAATTATTAAGTGAAAAACTAAAACATGAATCAAGAGTGATTCTCAGAGAAATAAACTACTAGATAAAAAAACTCTAAGCTGATTCTTGAATAAATAAATGTCTAGGAAAAAAATCAAGGGTGATTTTCAAAGAAATGGAACACTAGGCAGAAAAAATCAAAAGTGATTCTCAGATAAATAAACCATTTGGCAAAAAAATCTAAGAGCAATTCTTGCATAAATAAATCACAAAGCGAAATTTCAAGGTGAACCATCAAAACAAACAAGGTCAAAACTAACGGAAAAAAATATCAAAATACTAAAAGTAAAGTAAAGAGGTAGGGCTAGAGGCTAGAGCTTTGCCTGGACAAAGTTCAAGCTATCAAAACTTAATTAACTAATAATTAACTAATAAATGAGGTTTTGATACCATGAAAAGAAATAAGTATAGTCCAAGAAAGAATATTTAATCAACATACTGAAACATACTGATAAATATCAAATAAATCTAAGATAATTTTGATAAATGTGATTGGAAACAAAACAAGAAACTATAATAAATGGAAATCATAAATTAATTGTAATTAAATAACATTTAACAGTCATATTACAGGAAACTTTAATATTATGTTGCTAATAGATCTTAACTAAATTAAATGGTTGTATAGTTTTTAAACATTGTAAAAAATGTTTTAATAGCATACATTTTTAATAGAATAAATTCAACATTATTTTAGGGTATATTTTCCCATTATTTAGCTTTAGGATTTTGTACTTTGTATCCTGAGAGGATATATGAATTATTTAGGTGCCAATTTCTTCCTTGAGAGGATATTTCGAACATTGTATCTTTTGGTTTAGATGACTTGATTGATTGCCACGAAAAATGCTACTATATTAATCTCATATGATCATAGCAGGCTTAGTTCGCAGCAGTTGCGTATGAATTGTAAGTTCTGGCAAAAAAAAAAAAAAAATTGTGAGTGAGTTTAAAGGGAATGGCTTTAGCTAAGTAATTCAAAAGACAATTCTTGGTAATTATCGCTAGAACAACAACAACAATAAAGAACGATTTGTTAATTTGATTCTTACAAAATTATATTAGATTTGGATTGGGCATGAAGTGATATGAGTTGTAATTCTAAAATGTTAGATTTCAATTGGGTGTCAAATGTGATATCTTATCCTTCTTTTGTTATTGTTATTGTTACATGTTCAAGTCTTTTTTTTTTTATTTGTCTGTTATATGTCTAAGATTAAGGTGCAAAAATTTAATAAACACTTCATAATCATAAAAGTGTCAAATTCTAATTAAAAACAATCTACTTATGGAAATGGGAGAATTTCATATAAGGACATAGATGTGACATATTTCAAACCAAACCCAAAACATTTTGAAATTTCACTGCGAGATGATGGGCTTAAATTGAGATAAAATTATAAAACAAAATTACCAAAAATATCATTTTGCAGCATGATGAAACATAACAAGTAACACAAGAGAATTAACAAATAAAGTAATGCATTTAACAAGTAAAATAATTGATTGACAATAGGAGCTTATGTGGCAACTTAAATCTATAACTTGTTAAACCGCTATCATTACTTGTAAAATAAACCACATTACTTGTTATATCCAAAATGTTGTAGCTAATATAATTACTAATTCTTAGGAAGACTTTTTAATATCTTAACTTTACTTATTGTTTAATTTATTCTTTTATATTACTTTCGAACTCTATAACTTTGCTTGTAAAGTCCATATAGCAAGTTAGATCTATTATTTATTAAGCTATTAACATAACTTGTAAAATCAACTACACTACTTATTAAATGCTTTATTTGTTAATATTGTTATGTTACTTGTTGTCAACATATTTTTTGAATAAAGATATTTTGGTTTACAATATTATTTAGGTTCAGGCCCAACATTGTGCTGTAAAATTAAATTTCATAAAGTGTTGGGCCTGATTTGGCAATGTGTCCCATTCAAGGTCCTTAGATGAAACTTTCCCAATGGTAATCCTTTATTACTTTAACTCATATGACATTAACTTCTGCTCACCAGCTCATCCATTTAGCATCAGACTCCTTATTGAACAGGGCCAGAAAATACAAAACCTTGTATAAATTATGAGAGGTAGCATGCTCGATCAAATCCGCAATCTGGGCATCTGGCACGAATAAAATATTGGACGGGGGGAGCAAATCCTCTACGTTAACGCTGTGCTTGGCTCACACATAGAAAATAGGTGGAAAGAAAATGAAAGTACATGTTGAAAACGATGCAATATACTCTTTTTAATTTTTGAAAGTGGTACAATTTGGACAAAAGTTAACTTTGACAAAAAAATTACAGAAATGACCAAAAATTTGCAATAAATAACTTAAAATATTACAAAAAAGTCAAGTAGAACAAAAATTAATTTTATTGTGATGAATTTATAATTTATTTTTTTTAAGTTTAACAGGGTTGAAAAATAATCAAATTTGTTTCCCCTATTATAATTTGAAACATAAGTTGTAAATTTATCACATTATATTTATAAAATTGAAAAACAAACTTGCAAATTCTTAAAATCTTTAGGATTTACTTTACTTATCTATCATTCTTCCGAGAGTTTTCTTTTCAAAATCTCCTCATATTTGGAGGAAAAAATTGAAAGGAAAGTTTTTTTGCCCCCAAATACCCCCAAAAAAAAAAGTTGAGGGAAAAAAAACATCTGGGTCCACGTGTTATTGTCCCCAGAGTTTCCTCTACCTTCCATTTTTCTTTCCTTAACCAAAGAGGTAAAAAATGTGGTTTTACCTCCACTTTTTTCCCCCTCACTTTTCTCTCTTGCCAAACATAGGATAAGATTCATGAATTTTCACAAAATTTTATATATATATATATATATATAATATTTTTAAAAAATAATTTTTTTCTTTTTCTTTAAAAAATAAATTTCATGAAATTCACTAATTCTTCATTTTTTAGAATAACTATTCCCCCGGATAGGTAGCATGCTAGTATATCTGATATTGGATTGTAAGAAGACTAATTAAAAAAAAATAAAGGTGAATTATTTTCATAGAGATAGATATAAAAATATACATTTGCAACGGAGAAACCTTCATACATTTGCAGCCAAAAAATTTTCATTCACAACAAAATGCACAAATCTATCACAAATCTTTGGCAAAAAATCTTGCGACCAGTAAATTATTTCCCAAAAGAATAATGTCACAAGCACAATGTGTCATGGACTTTGCTTGTTTTGAGCCATATTTTTTTCATGATAAATAGGGAGAACGACCAAAAAAAAAACCAAAATATGCAAATGATAAAGAAGTACTGGAAAATGTGATAATGTTACTTTGTAGTTTCTTAAGACTTATCTGACATATTAGTTTTTAATGAAATGAAACATTTGTCCCTAATTTAAAATTTGAAATATAATGAAATATATGAAGGATAGTGACTACTTAAGATCATAGAGAACGGCAACTTCTCTTTAGCAAATAACTGAAACCTAAATGCCAATTAAAAGTACTTACTGCTATTTTTTTCATCAGTAAATTGAAATATGTAGAGGATAATGATACTAAAGAATAGGAAATGACAATTTCTATTGGAGAAATGACTAAAAGGTAATAGTAAATTACAATAATGGCACGTGATTGGTTTGATAAAAGCATATATTGATAAATAGTTCATTTTTTTAATGGAAAATTTCACCATTAATTATGGTTATACATCTTAATATAAAATGAAAAATAAAATAAAAAAATAAATTTAAATATATAAAGATAACAAAAAATGTAAAATAGGGATCAGATTTCACGCTTAATTGAAAATAAAAATTTTGAGACAACAATTCATTCTAATATTTTGCAATAATCAAATTAACATTTATTTTCGATATGAAAAACATTGTTAGCCATACTCTAATTAAATTACCAGTAATTATTGT